CTGTGCGAGCTCCTCCCTCAATCTGCCTTCTTGGCTAAGATCATCAGAATTCACAATCTCAGCCAATTCAATGCTTTCCAATGCAGAGCATGGAGACGCTGAACGTCAGTGCTGCACATTCTGCAACACTGACCCAGGAAGCACCTCTAGTGGAAGTCAGAGTGACTGCACATGAGGTGTCCCTAGGCAGTGATGTAAACACTGTATTTTCTCTGAAAAGGCAGTGTTTGCTGCAAAACGCCTGCAGGTCAGTCTATATAAACCAGAACAACTACATTAAGCTGCAGTTGTTCTGGTGACTATGGTGTTCCTTTCATTTGTGTAAAGCCTGTGTTGCATTCTCCTTTTTTCCTGTTCTAGTGCACAGAGTCTTTACATGTGACCCACACAGGAATGTTTGCTTAGCTTGACTGTGCCATATCATGTGCCTGGGAATGGCTGAGGAACACTTTCTACCTTGAAACCAACTCTGTTTTCTTTCTATCTCATGCATTTCAATCATTGCCTTGTTTGTTGTCTATTAACCTTGAAACAAACTATTATTTAACAACACAGAACTGGACTCCAAGCCTGCTTATGTAATTTCTTGGTTGACATAGGTGGGAACTTTGCCATCTCCCATCTTCTTCCTTCAGCTGCTAAAGGTTTGTGCCCTTGGAATGAGAAAATTAAAGTATCATATAACCAATCCCCAGCTTAACCCCTTAAGGACACATGACATGTGTGACATGTCATGATTCCCTTTTATTCCAGAAGTTTGGTCCTTAAGGGGTTAAAGGACAACTATAGTGCCAGGAAAGCAAACTTGTTTTCCTGGCACTATAGGGTCTTTAGGCCCCCTCCACCTTCAGGGTCCTACTCCCGCTGGTCTGAAGGGGGAGGAAGGGATTAATCACTTACCTTTCTCCAGCGCTGGGCTCCCTCGGCGCTGGGGAAATCTCCTCAGTCTTCCGACGTCAGCGCTGAATGCGCATGTGCGGCAAGAGCCGCACGCATTCAATCAGTCCATAGGAAAACATTTCTCAATGCTTTCCTATGGACATCAGCTTCCTATGGCGGAAGCGCCTCTAGCGGCTGTCAATGAGACAGCCACTAGAGGCTAGATTAACCCTATTGTAATGTGATGGAATTTCGGTGAAATGTAAATTTAGTAGGCCGAGATTTCCACGTGGCATATGTGTATGTTGTATCAGTTAGTTAGTTACACGTAGCTAAGATACTGTCATCAATGTACTGAGCATGTGCAGGAATGCAGGAACTGAAATTACACTCCTTTCTCCTTTGTTTCGGATGAGAAACATAGAATGTGACGGCAGATAAGAACCATTCGGCCCATGTGGTCTGCCCATATGAGGAAATCCAAATCCTGTCCACTGATTGGTTAAAGGTATATGCGGGTGGAGCTATTAATGGGAGGAGTTATAGTTCTATAAAAAGCATGTACTCCATGTGTTTGGCCCTCAGACCTGTTTTGGAACGTTAGTTCATCTGAGGCCTGATCAGGATGTTAATAAAGACCTCTTACTTCCTGAAAACCTGCATCCATCTCTCTGTGTCTCGCTTCTGCAAGTTTACTCGGTTACAGTAAACATAGCAGTTTCTCTGAAACTGCTATGTTTACAGCTGCAGGGTTAACCCTAGATGGACCTGGCACCCAGACCACTTCATTGAGCTGAAGTGGTCTGGGTGCCTATAGTTGGTCCTTTAAATTTGTCATTCTCTACCTGCCACACTCTAAACTCTAAATATTAGGAGGTTGTGGTTAACAAAATAAGCTGTTTTGTGATTCTCTATGATGAAAATTGGGTTAGTTGGTAATTAATGTAGCAGTAAGAATCATCAGCACCAATACCTCTCTTGCAAACAGCATTTTTATAAAGGTTGAAAGATGGGACACTCTGTTAACACCTAAAGCACTTCAGCAAGCTGCAGTGCTTTAGAAGTTTGGAAAGGTCCTTTAAATGTTTGCCTGCTTACTCTAGAATACATTAAAAGTGCACACATAATCTCAACATCCATACAAAGACCTGAAATGGCATCTATTAATCTATAAAACTTTGCAGGGCAAGCATCCAGGTAAGAACTAAATTTAATGCTAAGCCTTAAAGTATTATTTCCTATGGTTTCATAGTTGGGGCAATTACAACATGATTACATATTTTCATGCACATGCAACTTACTATCTGTTGAGGATCCTGTGCTCTTGTGTTTTCCATAGACACCCTTTTTTGTACTCTTGCTCATGTGTAAAAGTGCAAAGATGATATGGCTTCTACCAGCTTCATCTACAAGTAGGTGCATAGAGAAAAAAAGTAGCACAAAAGAGCTAAGGTTTTAGGATAGTGTAACTCCCTCCCTGTTTTACCCAACATCACTTGGGAGGATCTTAAGAAAATTTCAAAATACCCATCAACCAACAAAACCTAATACTAATTGAAGGAAATAACACTATGTGGAATTATTTTCATTTATTTGTTTACCCATGTAGTACATGCACCACAATAAAAATGTTCAAAAAACGAAAAATGACACCCCTATGTCACCCGAATTAAGTATGTTACACACACCACACACAGTGGTACTTAGCTTTTGTATAATTGATGCAGGTTCCCAGGTGATTTTCCCAATTTACCACCCCTCTTAACATCAAAATGTACAGATTTGGGATTCAGCTATGCATCTAAAATAGGAATAAACAAATAACGCGTAGTGAAGTATGTCAAGGTATAAATAAAGTGTGCGCTGTATATGTACACTCACAAGAAGATGTAGAGTTTTTTGTCCTTCCCTGATTTAGGCTGGGGGGCTAAAACCTTCCGTGCCTCCTCTTTACCAGCAGTACGTCCAGGGGTCAGCAGTAAGGTAAAACGCCACTTTCTTGCAATTATTTGTGTATGTTTATTGCATACAAATTATCAAAAAACAAACATGAATTTAAAAGATAAAATGGGACACAATGAGGTAAATTAAAATCAAAGGGCAATAGTGCAAAAATAATTAGCAAAGAAAAAAAAGCAGCAGCAATAGTGCAAAAACAAAAAAATGTTTTGGGAGGCTTAAAATGTTGGCTTACAATAGCTTCGGAACTAGATCCTGCAGCTCTCTAAGTATTTCCCTGGGCTGGACATTGTTCAATCTTACTGAGAGTTGTTGCAGACAAATCATACATGTGCTCAACTGGACAGACAAACTTCTCAATGAGCTGCATTGCAGCTCATTAAGAGGTGTATGATTGGGAAAAGTCAAGATTGGCACAGATCCTCACTAATATTTTGAACTATAGTTCATTGTGAGTGAGTTCAGACAACATGTCAAACAGACAGCCAGGAAGCTGTGACAAAGATATTTTATAAAAGTGCCGATTTTTCTTCGAATCAACACATTTATAAAACAGCTTGCAGGGAGAACCAAGAGATACAAACTAAATTTACCTTAGGAGCTGAAAGTGACACGGTTGGTATTTTAAGCCATTTGGTATAAAGTATAATTTGTATAATGGCCATTGACCAGATAATGAACAGATCAGAATAAACTAATAGCAGGTCTCAGTCTGCTCTAAAATGCAGACTTCCTCGGACAAAACAATTATAGTCCAAATGTTTTACATTTTTGTTACTACATCTCCAAACATGCTTTTTTTATGAACTCAAGTTATTTGTACTTTTCGTTCATTCATCACTTTTAAACCTCACGCAAATGGTATCCAAATAATTGGATGGATTCTTCTTCTGTCCACTTCCAATTATCACACAATCAGCATGTGCATAGAGATAGTTGTCATAAAATGCCCTAGAATCTAGGGATGGTGGTTATAATGAATGTTTCAATAACTTTGTTCTCTGGGTAAATCTGTCCATCTTCAAGAAACGGAGACAGCCGCAACCGATATTCTTTATCTTTTCCATGATGATAATTTTTGTTGTTCCAACCACCGCGTCTGTAGAACAAATGAAACTTAATGTGGTTTTTGTTCATTTGTAGAGATGACAGGGTTAAAATCAGAATCTATCTTTTTTTCCTGGATATAAATAGAGGTTCTATACAGAAGCAACCTCTCACCAGCACTGATCTAGTGAGGGTAATTTTTCTCCCAGTGATCTCTCAAGCTTCTCTCTGTGCAAGGGCCATGTTTTATTTATGACAAGCTTGACAAACTCCGAAAACATTGGTTAGATTTACGTTCTCCTTCAGTTTAATGCTCGTTATTCTCCTCTGTACCACAAACAACTCCTGCAGACTGAGAGAGCTGCCGGGAGGTATAATGGCACATGCAAGCACTTATTTGTCACATCTAAGTGTTCCACTGAATATTGCCCATCTATCTGCTGCGTGGTAATATGACCATCGGGTCTATTGTGTTTTCAGAAACATCCTCCTCGTATATTCAGTATCTTTATAGAGTTATTATTTTCTCACTAGATTTAGTGGAAGAATAAAGGATAATCAAAAATAATCTGGAATAGACAAATGTGACATGTCTCACTGAATCCTATTTTGCCATGTGCTTTTCTATAATTGGAATGGTACGTTTGTGGGCTTGCTGGTGGGTGCTTTTATGGTCGTAACCGTTTTTTATTAGTGGAAAAAGTGTCAATGGTTTGCAAGAGTTTCAGAAAGTCAGTGGAATACAAGTGCTTTCCACTTCCTTTACTGCTTGTTAATTAGCTAAAATGACACACTCACTGCAACACAACACAATGATCTGCACATCTTCTTCTGTTGAAGGAGACATTGATAGTTTCATGTAAATACTAAACATATACAGAAAGATAGCAGTGATACAATCAATATAAAAATTTTGTTAAATATTCAAATATTTTTTTAAATATATGTATATAATATCAGTGTACAGCGTTCCAAGTATACCTATAGTTTAGGGTTTATTAAATTTTTTATTTTCAAAAAAATTTTATTGATAAGTTCTATGATTGTACACTAATACTTTCCTGGTGGCATCAGTGACCTGAGCTATATGTAGATGTATGTTAAGGAAAAATTGTTTTAAAACGTTTTGTAATTTTTTTCAATTTTATTATTTTTATTTACACAAATACCATCAGAGAGTATACATTGCCATTTAAGAATTAAGAATTACAAAGTGTTTGGTATAATTTTCTATTTTTATAAAAAATAAATAACAATAACAACACAGTAGTGTGTACATTATGTTAGCAGCAATCCACAGCTCCGGGTCAGCCCTGTAGAGTTCGGCCATGCTAAAATATAACGGTGGGTGTACATTGGTACTTCTCAAGGCTGCCTCCTCCTCCACATAACCTCAACTCCAGTGAGTGAACATAGGTCATTCGGCATTACCTGGGCCACCGCTGTATTTACTAAGTGCTTAAGTCCCCTCACTCATCCAGAATCATCTCCCACCTCCGTGAAAGTTGGGGATGTTAAAGGTCCAGAGCCACAATCACTCCATGGCAGGACCGTGCACCCTCTCATAAACATCCTGCCTCACACTTATCCCTCTCCACAAACCTTTTGGAATGACATGGTTAGTTTGTCCATAAGGTAGGACTCTTGGATCTTGTGTATAAATTCCTCCAATCTAGGAGTAGTGTCACCAGCTGATTTACAGCCAGGGACTGCCTCACAGCTCAAGTTATTTTCTTAAACAATTTTTGGGCCCTAGCTGGCAAGCCATCAACTGGCCTAGGCCTAGCTAATAAAAATGCCCAGGGATCAAGGTCAACCAGCCTGTCAAATAATGCTGCTAGTAAGTCACAGACTTCCTGCCACAATGGTTTCAGTAAGTTGTATTTCTTGATCAAACACCATGATGGCATTATCCAATGGGGATCCAAAGGACAGGAAACAGAACCTGATTGTGCGATCCTGGACGTTTGAACAGCAAACAAATGACAGACTCATCTACTTGAACTACAGCTTTTCTTATGCAACCCATATGACAGTTGCCATCACTACAGAGAAAGAGTGTAAAACAACCCATGATCCGGGAGGGAGGCCCATCCAGAGAGTTGCTTTTCTACGTGTACTGTTTACTTGGTATTCAAGAAAAAAAAGGCTGGTTATTGGATTGTGTATATGCACAGCATGTATCATTTTCAACTCCTATCTGGGCCTGCAGAAATATGTCTTATAAGGTA